GTGAGGTAAGGTCTAGGGATCGAGCCCTGGGATATGCATCTGTTACTGCAAAGGTGAAAACCGTTTCACTCCCGCCGGCCTAAATTCGAGGTCCTTCGAGAATACTTCAGTCCAAGGCAGGACCTTTACCTTTCCTACCTCTCTCATAGGCTCGAACCACATCGGGAGTGGTCTCTAGAAGTTCAGTTCGTGTGAACCAGTGGTCGTCCTCGTGTTCTTGAAAAGAGAATCTGACTTTATACTGTTTCTGTGGACGACCTCTACCTCCTGTTTTGAACACATCTTCACCTATATGCGGTCAGTGTCGTACCTTCCATCCATGTCCGGAGGGATCATGGATCTTGTGATGGAAATTGTTGACTTGTGGTACAGGGCAACAACTTTGACGCATGAAAAGCTGGGTAGGTGTGGAGGTGCGCTGGAATCTCGACTGTGTAGGACGGTCCATCCTCTCCGCCCTTGATTTCTAAGACTGGCCACGGTCCTCGGTATGTAGGGAATAATTTCTGCGAGATGTTTTCCTCAGGAGCAAACTCCTTTGACTTGACCCAGACTAAGTCGCCTACTTGGAACTGTGATGGGTGACAGTGTTTGTTGGCTTGTTCTATCATCCTGTGCTGGGCCTTCCTGAGGTTCTCTACAACGGTAGCTATCTCTTTCTCGTGCTGAATTGCGAACTCCCTAGTACCGGGCGGTAGCCTTTGGATCTGATTCCGGTTCAATCCTTCAAATGGTCTACGCGGTTTAAAGGACTTGTGCAGCTCATTGCGAGTGCGACAAGTGGCTAAGTGCACACTATTATTATAGGCACTGGCTACCTTTGGAAGCATCTCATCCCAGTTGACTTGGTCGCATCTGATATACATTCTCAGAACTTGTTGCAGGATCTTGTTCATCTGTTCAGTCTGACCGTTAGTCTCTGGATGACGGCCAGATGACATCAACAACTTAGTCGTAGACTCTCATCAACTCTACCAGTTTTGGCTAGTGAACCTGGTATCTCTGTCACTAACTATCGACAACGGTAGACCATGCTTATTGACCCAATGATCAAAGGACTTATCTATAACTAAGTCTGTACGTGCCTCCGCGGGCAAAGGAACAAAAACTGCATACTTACTAAATCTATCAACTATAACCATGACTTGGCTCTTGCCATGCCTACTCCTGACCCCAACATGAAGTCAATGGACATAGAGTCTCCGGGTCCGTCGGGAATAGGCAAGGGTCTGAGAAGACCAAGAGGGGCTTGCGTAGTGGTCTTATTTTGTTGGCACACCTTACAACTGCGTAGATACTCTATGCAGTTGGGCTTCATACCTGGCCACATATACGCGCGAATAAGGTTGGCTAACGTCTTCTGCCAACCAAAATGTCCCTCGGTGTCATGACATTCCCCTAAGATCAGACTTCGGACCTCCGCATTATCGGGAACGCACAATCGATCGGCTACATTAGTCTTCTCAAATAACAACTCGTCTGTAGTGCGGTAGTTTGGTTCAGACTCTGGAGACTTTCTAACTCTCTTGAGAAGATCACTATAGATAGGGTCCTGTGCGTAAGCTTCCTTGACTTTCTGTTGCAAGTCTCTCCCTATGTCTAAGTAGTGAACTATTGCTCCAAAGTAATCAGCTCTCCTACTCCGAGCATCCACAACCACATTATACTTTCCTTTTACTAGCTTGAGCTCAAAGTCGAACTGGTCTATCTCTGCGGCCCACCTAGTAAGCTTAGGTGTCATCTTGGCCTGCGTCTTTAACCACCTCAGCGTCCCGTGGTCTGAATACACTTTGAAGTGCCTCCCAAGCAAGTAGTGTTTCCCGTGATCTAACGCTCGCTCTCGTAGGTAGATGTCGCTACCTTCTCTAAAGGCATCCTAGCAGACATGAACTCTACAGGTCTATACCCATTGCCATCCTCTTCCTGTAGAACAACACCGTACTGACTTACGTCAGTAGTGACAACAGAAGGTAAGGACGGATCGGCTACCTTGAGGACTGGGTACTCTATCAAGGCCCACTTTAGCTTCTTCAGGGCCGATGTACAATCTTTATTCCATTCCCAGATTGCTTCTTTCTTTAGCAACCTGCGAAGGGGTGCAGTGATAGTATAAACGTTCCTTACGAGCTTTCTATAGTAGTTGGCTAGGCCAAGGAACGACCGCAATTCTATCAAGGTGCAGGGCGTTGGCCAATCTCTAATCGCCACTATCTTACTGTCCTCATGTTTTATGCCATCTCTATCTAAGACGTGGCCCGAGTACAGGACTTGTGTCTTGGCCCACTCGAACTTCTTCGCATTGATTTTGAAGTTAGCTTCCCTCAACTTCTCCAAGACTTGCCTCGGATGGCCCTCATGTCCCTTGCGGGTCTTACTAAACACTAGGATATCATCTAAGTACACCACTACGAATCTATCTAACCATGGCCTAAACAGATCGTTCATACAACGCTGGAATGTAGTTGGCACATTGGTCAATCCAAAGGGCATCACTATAAACTCGTAGTGCCCATATCTAGTCCTGAATGCCATCTTGTACTGATCATCAGGGTGGACTTCTATCTGATGATAGCCCGACTTTAAACCTATCTTTGAGAAATACTTGCAGCCCTGCACCCGATCCAACAAATCATCTATTCGGGTCAGTGGTTCTGCATTCTTCACAGTGACGGTGTTGAGACCTCTATAGTCTATGCACATTCGAAGCTCTCCCTCCTTCTTGGGGACAAACAAAACAGGTGCTCCAAACGGAGACGAACTGGGCCAAATCCAACCCTTCTCGAGGAGCTCATCTAACTATTTGCGCAGCTCCTCTAACTCCCTTGGGGACATTCTATAGACAACTCCCTTAGGAGTCCTACTGCCAGGCTTTATCTCAATGCGATGCTGGATGGGCTGCGACACTACTACTGTAGGCGGCTCAAACAAGTCTGTGTACTCCTCCAACAACTTGGCAATAGTTGGGTTAGTGGGTTCCTCGTCCTTAGGCTCAGTGATAGGCCTCACATAGGCTACGAAAACCTGTTCCTCTAATTGCTCCTTTCTCACTAATCGCGCGAACGCAGGAGCACTGAGACAGCAACGTACCAAGGGATTATCTACTCCTGACACATGGAACAGGCGAGCAGTCTTAACTTCACCTGACGTACTAGGCAGCCTACACTCATGCTCTCTCAAATGGAGTGTGGCCCCCGCTGCCTCTCCCTAGTCCATTCCTAGGACCATGTCAAATGGAAGGTTATCCTCTAGGAGGAGAGTCAGGGAATGGAGAACTCTCTCTACCTTCCCGTCCTTCTCTAGGCGAAAGTACGCATGGACTCCCTCTACGTAATCCTCGACTCGCATAGTGCAATTGTCTGCGAGGATGCTAACTATAGGGTCTTCCAAGTTTTGGACCTTCAGATTAAGCTTCAACTTCTGCATCGCTTTTCTACTAATATAGCTCCGCGTGGCTGCACTATCGATAAGGGCCCCAACTCTACCTCTAAAGACTTCTACATCTACCAAAACTAGCTGTCTTTTACCATCCTTCTTTATCTTGGCCCAGGTCGGCATTCTCTTTAAGCTCCTCTGCCAGACCTGTGAGGGAAGTGCCTAGAGAGACTTTAACACAAGCAGTCTCTAAACAACTATCTAGGCACTGGCCAGCAACCTCTGCCATAGACACATGTGGGTTGGGAGTTTCTCTATGGTGCGCGCACTCTTCTCCACATGGTCTAGGGGTAAGGGCAGTTGCGACCCCTACCTACAGTCGCCTTTTACTGCCAGTGTCGCATACCAGGCCTCTCTATATTTGGGGCAGTATTTAATGATGTGCCCCGGATCACCGCAATAGATGCATTGATCCTAGTCTATCCTCTTCTGCCATATTGTCTGCTCTAGGGCCAGATCTTCCCAAGGCCTGCCTTGTCAGCCAGGGTGCCATCCGCCCCTCTTGGGAAGTCATCGACTAAAACGAGAGCGGTTTTGCGGGGGACCTTGACCCCGGCCTCCTTCTTGGCGGTTTCCTCTGCTGCCAACCCCCTGATCGCCTTGCCCTCGACCACCAGAGACCCGACCCCCTTGGCCCCAGCCTCCCCCTCTTCCTTGCAGCCTCCCTCCAACCGCGATAACAACATAAGTCTTCCCCTGACTAGTGCCACTGTCTTCCTCTTCCAGGCCCCATTCAATCTGGCTATACGGAACCCCTTCCATACCACCCTCATCTAAAGTAAAGATAAAGTGATCCTTTGCCTTAACTTGACCTGAGATGGTACGCCCTTTCCACTTTTTGCCTTTATCAAGGTCCTTATGCCAGAAAGTGAAAGTTGGCACGGATCGGATCTCAAAAGCCACCACCTCCCTCCTCAATGAATCGTAAGTCATGGCAGGCTCTTTGCTCTTCTCGAAGAAGTGCTCGCGCAAAGGCTCAGGCATGGCACGATAAAACAATGGGACCAATCGGGCCTCAGTGACCCCATGAACTGGGATAGCGACTAATTTGTCCATGACTCCTTTGAGTGCCCTCGCACTCTTCCATTGACGTGAGTGGATGATTTGCAGCTTGTCAGAGGCTTTAATTCCCCTAGTGACGTCTGCAAAACGCTCGCGGAGTAGCCTGAAAAATTCGTTGAGGGGTGTGATGATGGAGTATGCTACCATATCATTGTCACACTTAGCGGCACGGGCAAGCGATCAAGCGAAGCTAGATGCTTCATCCTTAAGGGCGTGAAAGGCAATGAGGACTTGTTCCTCAGGTAGGATCTTCTGGAGGTGAACGTAAGAATTAACGTTCGCCTCCCAGTTATTGAAATTCTCTTCCTTTTTCCCACTGTAAGAGTCATGAAATTTAACCTTCACTGGCTCCCTACGCGGGCGGGCTTCCTCCTCCTTTGGAACTACTAACTTGACTCCCTCGATCCGGCCCTTATAAAACCTCTCCATATTTGTTAGGCTTGCATTTCAGTAGCCATGCGCATCATCATATCGTGCATGGACTGTAGGGCTATATCATGGCCTCTCAAAAACCTCTAAAACCTACGCGCATGGACAGCAGGGCTATATCATGGCCCCTCAAAAAATTCATTTGCTCTGTTGAGCCCGGATCATCACTTCCATGCTCTTACCTATGATCTTCACTTTGTTCTGGAGATCTGTTTGCTCGGCCAAACGTGCATGCTGCTCCCCCGCGACGGCCAACTCTTCCTCCAATGCAGTCGCCACCTCTATGCGCTTCCTTCTCTGTCTTCTAAGGCGCACCTTCCACTCCATCCTCTTCTCTTCTTCCAATAACTATCGCTGCAAAGGATCCTGTATTGCCTGGATCTCGGCTATTGCTGCGTCCCTCTCATCATGGGGAATGTACATTATTGCTTCTTCATCTTCTCCCAGGGATATATTGGCTACCCACTCAGTCACCATCTTTTCCAACTTCTTCTCCTCCTCCATC